TATACAATACATAGTTAAAACAATAGTAATCACAATAAACTATACATCTTTAAAGTTAAATTAACTCTCAAAAGCAATCCTGAAAATAGATTTTGTAATTTTGACAGAGAGGAAATAATTTAAATATCTTTCTGAAATATTTGATGAATGTATCCCCAGAGGCCCATGGCTGTTTATAGACTTTTCTTAAATTTCATTCAAGTCTCCAAAGGAAACCACACTTAGTATAATTACTATAGATTAGTTAGAAGTGAAAATGCAAAATACATATGGTGACTTCTGTACAATTTATGTTTAAGATGTTTTTACTGTTGTTTTTAATTGTCAGGCAGAATAGTGTTATAAAACTCAGAAGAAAAGTGTTTCTAGAGTAAAATATCTGTATTATTTTTTGTAAAAATAAGGAATTGTATATGTGTTTTCTATTGTTGTGTCTATTTATCATTCTTTACCTACGGGTGTGTAGAAGAGGGATAGTTTGTTGGAGTTTGAGAAAGAGCGTTAATTTTTCTGTGACTTGCATTCTTTAAATGCTTACCCACAGACTTCATAAAAATAAAATAAATTTACTTTAAATTATTTTCCTCTTTGAATAGGAATTTCCAAAGACAGTTTCCTAAGTTTGAACTAAATGCACCTTCAGGCTGATGAGAACTTTATAGCTTAATCATTATTTGCCTACAGCTCGAAAAATTATTACATTTCAGATATAGAATTAGATCTTTGGTGCAATCGAAATCATTACTTGTAGCCTGCAAAGTACAACAGCAAGTTAACTCACTTTGACCTAATGCACACTGTGACCTCTTACCAAAATTCAAAATTTAATGAACTCTATACCAAAGCATAAAATGTAAATAAAAACAGTTTAAAAACTTGAGTTGTTTTCCCATGTGTTACAATAATCTTTGTTTTTAACTACTAATTCTTTTTTGTACTTGTGTTCAGTATAGAGATCTGAAATTTTAAGTGATTGTTCCTTATGTGTTCAGCAAATTGGGTCCCAAAAGACTAACTATAACATAATTGCTCATGCTTATGAGACATCATTACAATTTTTTTGTTAGAAATGGTTTAAAGTGATGTGATACAAGGAAAATGTTCTAGAGGAACCAACAAACAGTACAAAACAAACAATACTTAAGTAATGTTAAGTAGTATTGGAATTAGTGGAGTTTGGGCTCTGGTTTTGTTGTGGATTACTCAAAGGCAGCAGGTAGTGGAGCAAAATCAAGGTAGCTGAGGTAGTAAAACATGGCTTAGAGTGACAAACTTTGTATCCGTTTGTTCCATTATTCTACTAGTATATTGGAACATCTAAATACTCAGTCCTAGTAGATATTGTTTAAAAAATTATGAAGTCCTACTAGATGTTTAAAAATGAGAAAACATAGAACTATATCTGCTTGCCAAGATTTTGAAATTTAGAGTAGGTTATACACAAATGAACAGGTGAATGTATAATTGGATGTAAGATGGTGAGAGGTAATGAAACACCTCTAGAAGGAAGTGAAATGTCACCTGACATCTGAGGGATAAATAGAATTATAGTTGCCAACTTAAGGGGTGAAAATACAGGGGGAGTATTCTGGCCCAACTACATAGCAAACCTGTGGTAGCACCTGAGGAACTGATAGCATGCAACACGACTGAAGTGCGGAGATTATATGATGAATGTCACAAGAGGGGAGACTCGTTTGCAAAGAAGGGTTTGCTTATCAGAGGTTGGGTTAAGCACGTTCAGAATTTTGGCCTCTAGCCTAGGGTCAATGAGAGACAGGAAGCTAAGACTTACATGTTTAAAAGTACACCCAAAGTGTGATATGCACAGGACGGGGGGTGAGGCTGGTAGCTAAGATAAATACTGAGGGTAATAATCCAGAAAAATGTGAAAGTAGTCTAATAAATAAAAGAGTACAGAATGTTAGAAGTAGACAGATCTAAACAAAAAGTTAAGTAATTACTACTGTTTAATAATTATTTGGTTATTAGTGGAAGTTACATACATGAAAAATGGTTTTTTAAATTTTTTATTAAATTTATTGGGGTGGCATTGGTTAATAAGATTATATAGGTTTCCAGTGCACATTTCTGATACATGATCTTTATATTGCATTGTGTGCCCACCACCCAACATCTTTTGTCACCATATATTGTACCACCTTTACTCTTTACTCCCCACCCTTCAACCTGCTTGTCTCTGGTAACCACTATACTGCTGTCTGTGTCTATGCGTTTTTTTTTTTTTTTCTTGTTTGTTCATTTGTTGCTTTTAGTGTTATATCCCACATGTGAGTGAAATCACAGGGTTCTTAACTTTTAGCATGATATTCTCAAGATCTATCCATGCTGTCACAAATGACAGCATTTCGTCCTTTCTAATGGCTGAGTACTGTTCCATTGTATGTGTGTACCACATCTTCTTTATCCAGTCATCTATCAAAGGACACTTTTTTTTCTTCATGCTTTGGCCACCCTGAATAATGCTGTAGTGAACATAACGGTTCTTATGTCTTTGGAAATAAATGCTTTCAACTTTTTTTAGGTAGATACCCAGAAGAGGATTGCTGGATCCTACGGTAAACTCTACTCTTAATTTTTTGAGGAGACTCCATGCTGTTTTCCATAATGACTGTACCAGTTTCCATTCTCCCCAGCAGTGAATGAGTTTCTTTTTCCTCTACAATCTCTCCAACACTTGTTACTACATGTCTTGTTGGCAATAGCCATTCTAACAGGTGGGAGGTGGTATCTCATTGTAGTTTTGATTTTCATTTCCCTAATAGCTAGTGATGTCGAGTATCTTTTCATATAGCTGGTAGTCATTTGTATGTCTTCATGGGAGAAGTGCCTGTTCAGGTCCTCTGCCCATTTTTTAATTGGGCTGTTTCTTTGTTTGCTGTTGAGTTTTATGAATTTTTATAAAATATAATTTTGGATATTAACTCCTTGTTAGAACTCTTGTGTGCAAATATCTTCTCCCCCTTGGTTGGTTGCCTTTTTGTTTTCTTGGCAATTTCCTTTGCTGTGTAGAAGCATTTTAATTTGATATAGTCCCATTGTCTTATTTTTGTTTTTACTTCCCTTGCCTTTGGGATCAAATTCATAAAAAATTCTCTAAGACCAATGTCCATAAGTTTAGTACCTTTGTTTTCTTCTATGTAATTTATTGTTTCATATCTTGTATTTAAGTCTTGATTCATTTTGACTTCATTTTTTGTACATGGAGACAAACTGTAGTCTAGTTTCATTCTTTTACACATGATTTTCCAATTTTCCCAGCACCATGTATTAAAGAAGTTTTCTTTTCTCCACTATATATTTTTGGCTCCTTTGTCAAAGATTATTCATCCTTATACATGTGGGTCTATTTCCGGGCTTTCATCTCTGTTCCATTGTTCTGGGTGTCTGTTTTTCTGCCAGTACCACAGCTAGTATCATACTTAATGAAATTATGAAAAACTGAAAGCTTTTCCTTTAAGATCAGGAACAAGACAAGGATGTCCACTCTCACCACTCTTATGCCACATAGCCCAAAAAGTCCTAGCCAGAGCAATGAGGCAAGAGAAAGAAATAAAAGGCATCTAAATTGCAAATGAAGAATTAAAAGTGTTACTTTTTGCAGGTGACATGATTACACACACACACACACACACAAACCCTAAAAGACTCCACCAGAAAACTATTCGAAACAATTAAAAAATACAGTAAAGTTGTAGGATACAAAATCAATGTACAAAAATCCACTGCATTCCTATATACTAACAATGAAAATTCAGAAGAAAAAAATTCCCTTTCCAATTACAACAAAAAGAATAAAATACCTAAGCATGAACTTAACAAAGGATGTGAATGACATATATACTGAAAAAAGTCTCAACGAGATGGAAAAAGATTTCAGGTTCATGGATTGGAAGAGTAAACATAGTTAAAATGTCCACATTACCAAAAGCAATATACAGATTTCATGCAATCCCCATCAAAATCCCTGATATTTTTTAAGGAAATAGAACAAAAAAAATCTCCAGATTGTAGGGAACCACAGAAGACCTCAAAGAGCCAAAACATCTGGAGGAAAAAAGAACAAAGCCAAAGGTATCACACTCCCTGATTTCAAATTATACTGAAAAAATTGTTTTGGGGTATTTTGTTTGTTTGTTTGTTTCTTACCCAGATAACTGGTTGGAAGCTAGCACCATTCACTGAGTTAATAAAAGAAAATCAAATTTATCTCTCTTCTGCTTAAGTAAAGATTATTAAAAACTGCTCCCTTTTAAGGAGCCAGAAACCAGTTTGTATTTCTACAAGTATCCTGAAACTTTTTCTTCTCCCCCTTTGCAACTGGATGTTTGAAGATACAAGATAAGTGTGTTTTCTTAATCATTTAAAATGTATTTTTAAATCTGTTATTCATATTTTGTTAAAAAGCAAGTTGCTTACATTCTTAAGGTGTTTTTCCTCTTTCATCCACAAATACCACATAACAGTTTAAGGAAAACTAGGAATCATAGTAAGATCAAAAAAAATAATAATAAATAAAAATTATCCTAAATATTTAGTATAGAAGTCATTAGCATTCAAATTTTGTTTATGACTTTTCATATTACAGCTTTTGGAATTAAATTTTTGAATTTACTGCTTCTTGTTAATAAAAATTTTTCAGAGAAATTAGGACAATTTTGTTTAAATATTCCAATAATTAAAAGGTTATTTTTGGCTATCTGTGATTAAATAACTCTTAATCTTTATTTTTCTCTTATTTAAATAGTTATGGAATAGATTATTCAATTATGTAAAATTTTAAATAAAATACTCTCTATCTTTACAAGTCCCCACAGAGTTTAACATTTTGAGGTTTTTGCCTAGAACAAGGCACTTCATTCTGCAACCAGAACTAAACTGAAGATTCTCCTGTGAGTGTGATTGCAGTGGGTCAGGATCAGTTCCTAACATCTGCTCGATCATTGCCAGTGGAGACAGGAATACTAACGCCGTGTGCTCTAGAGGGTTTTAAGACTTAGAAACAAAACTTCAATCTATTCCATGGCCACAGGCAATCACTCAGCAGTATCTGAGTTTCTCCTCTCAGGACTCACCGATAACCCAGACCTTCAAACCATTCTTTTCAGTATATTCCTGGTAGTCTATGTAGTTAGGGCCTGGGTAGTCTTGGTTTGATTATGCTAATCCAAGCCAGTCCTCAGCTTTACATACCCATGTATTTTTTTCTCAGCCACCTGGCTTTTCTGGCTTTTGTTGATTTTTCTTTTACTTCTTCTGTCACCCCCAACACCTTGGTGAATTTTCTGCGTGAAGTTAAAAGTATACCATGTTATGCATGTGCGATTCAGGTGTGCTGCTTCATCACATTTGTAGTTTGTGAACAGTATCTGCTCTCAATCATGGCCTACGATCTGTATGTTGCCATCTGCAACCCCTTGCTCTATGTCATCCTCATGCCTTGAAGACTCTGTAATCAAATCATTGCTAGCACATATATTTATGGGTTCACTGTGGCTCTTGTACAGACAGTGGCAACATTCCACTTGTCCTTTTGTGACTCCAACATGGTCAACCACTTCTACTGTGATGATATTCCCTTGGTTGCTCTGGCTTGTTCTGATACCCAAGTCAAAGAGCTGCTGCTGTTAATCACTGAAGGGATCAGTACCCTTTGCTCTCTTCTGATTGTGGTCATTTCTTATGCCTTCATCCTCTTTGGTTGCTCTGGCTTGTTCTGATACCCAAGTCAAAGAGCTGCTGCTGTTAATCACTGAAGGGATCAGTACCCTTTGCTCTCTTCTGATTGTGGTCATTTCTTATGCCTTCATCCTCTTTGTCCTGAGGATCCATTCTGCTGAAGGAAGACAGAAAGCTTTCTCTACCTGTGCTTCCCATCTGACTTCCGACACAGTATTTTATGGGACAATCATTTTCATGTACCTACTGCCCAAGTCAAGCCATTCTCTGAACACAGATAAATTTGCTTCTGTGTTTTATGTGGTAGTGATTCCCATGTTAAACCCATTCATCTATAGCTTGAAAAACCAGGAGGTAAAAAACTCACTGGAAAGAATGAAAGAAAACTTGAGCTTAGCTATTAAATAACTGAGAATTCATTGAACAAGAAAAGATAAAAGGACTTTGAGTTGTGTCTTATCTAAAGTCACAATGCTGATAAATAGTAGAGCCAAATTCCTCATTCAAGGGCTCATAGTCACTCAAAATATGTCCCACCTACTGTCATTCTCAGTGATTTCAATATGAAAAGTGATTTGTAAATTTTGAGTTGTTGAATTGTAAAAGGGGGGGGGAGAGAGAGAGAGAGAGATCTGAATCCTATCTGGCCATAACTTTACCTTCATAATGAAAGGAACAGAGAATGGGAAAATAGTGGGTGTCATATTGGGACATTTTGGTCGCACTGAAATAGGACATTGGTATCTTGTATCTCAAGCTTGCTGCATAGATAATCTGAAAGATGTGTCAAAGTGTAATGGTAAGAATTGTTGGTTTAAACACTCTGGATAATCTGCATTCAGCTGAAAGAATAGCTCCAGCAGGATTACCTTGACAATGAGCATTTAGTGACACTGAGTCTGTATCAGTTTAGCTCATTGGAACCACTTAATACCATTGTAACTCATTGTATATTCTACATAAATTGTGTTTAGGAATGTGGACTCTTCATTCACACAGTTTGGCTAACAATTCTAGTTTTTCCAAGTAATAGCTGTTGTCATTGGTAAATTATTCTACATTTCTGTATCTTGGTTTCCTCATCTTTGAAAGGCAGTAATATTTCCTTTTTCTCAGGCTGATTGTAAGATTAGATAAGATTATAAACACAAAAAGCATTGCATAGTTCTTAGCACATAGAAAACTCTTCATAAATATTAACTATTATATTTAATTATTAACACTGTTATTGTATCAATGATCCCTTTTTTTGGATACATGTAATGGGGTAATAGCTTTTTATGAAATAGTTGGCAGCATGATGTGCTAACCCACAGACATAGATACAGTGTGGTGATGGCCAGAGGGAAGGGGAGTGGGCAAGGGTTGGGTGGGGGTGGGCAAAGGAGGAGAAAATGGGGACACCTGTAATAGTGTCAACAATAAAAATGAAGTTAAAAAATAAAATGAAAATGGAAAGATGAAAGAAATGAGTTACTTTACTGTGATTTTTAAAGCAACTTAATTCTTTTACATTTGTTTCTATGTGTATTTATGAACATATTTTAAACTGAATTTTTTAGGTTCCTCTAGTATTGCTATTAAAATAAGCATTGTTTATTTTAGATCAGGTGAATAGGAAGGGTTGGGCACAGGGATCACTCTGTTTTTGGTCAAAAACTGCTGAACACTCAGCATAGTCTGGGCAGGGGAAAAAAAGGAAAAAAAAGAAAAACTGAAAAAAAAATAAGCATCATTTATTTTCTTGAAAAAAGAAACCACTTTTGTTACCTGTAGTTGCATTAGTAAATTATTTAGTTCTAAACTTTTCAAAGTGAAAGATAAAGCTTTGATCTATTAAACATTTTTCTGGGTGTCAGATGCTGGTTGAAGTGCTTTAAATGGGTTCTCACTTAATTTTCATAACACTCTTCTGAGATGGGTATTTTATAGAATATAGAAATTCAAAACAGTTACATAATTTATGAACACACAGGTTGCTAATAAATGGAAAAACAAGAGCCCAATTTTTCCAATTACGAAGCTTTCGTTTTTAGTGACTATCTTAAATTTCCAACTACAGTTACACAACATTAAAAAAAACTGAATAACGATTCACAAATTGTCACTCAAACACTAGATTTAAATCAAGTTTTTCAGCTGTCAAATATATAATCAGAGTGCTATGTGAGCCTGATCATGGCGGGACAAATGGATCCCCCATGTTACTCATATACTCGGGAAAAGGAAGTGAAGGGAAAAGTCACCATGTATGGGGCAGGGGACCTTCTGCCTTTATCACCTCTTTGCTTATTAATGATGTTAATTTCAGATGCTTCTGAGAATCTCCCTTCTCCCCCTCAAAGCCAGATTGTTAGCTGTTCTTATAAAGCTTAACCATATTTCACTTTGACATTTTGATGTCACTGGGTCCCCTTTGCTTATATAACTATCTTGGTTTAGAACCCAAGAAAAGAAGCTTATCAACTCTGGGGGTTAATTGTCTCACATTAATTGAGATGTGGAGAAATCTTCTTAAATGAGTATTAACCTGTGTGATTATTTATATAACAATATGCCTACACCTTACGTTTAATTCCTGGCAGAACAAATTAAGCACCAAGAAAGTCTGAGGAAAAAAGAAGTCTATAAATATATAATCACCAGTGATTCTTCATAGATTACACTCTAATTTATTTGAAGAGATCAAAATATGTAGAAAAATATGGGCCTCCCTGAACTAATACATGAATAAGAAATATAATTGAGAGAATATGAGGAAATTATAAGTAAGCATACAAAAAAGTATAAATTAAATCATTAGAATACTTATGTTCTAGATGTATTTTTAAAATTGTGCTTCTAAAGCAACTGGGTTTTTTTAATTAAATCATGTTTTAAAGAAATTTTAATTTTATGCATTTTATTATTTATTATTTTAAAATTGTGCATCTTATTTTGAAGGTAAATAGGTTAAAAACCACTTAATTTATCTATTTTGTAAATCTTAATTTTAACATATTAACCCTGATGAGTGTGACATTTGTTAGTAAGAAGACTAAATGAGTTAATAAATGCTAAACATGTACAATTAGGCCAAACAATAGTAAATGATAAATCTCAACTATTTCTCTTTCTTTTATTATTAAAGTTAGTGCAGAAATTTTAGTATTGGGTGGATCATATAAATAAAACATAAAAACAAGTTATACAGAAAGGATGCTGTTTTTTTAAGAGAAATGCAGTCTTCACTCAAAAAAGTGAAAGAATGGAAGGAAAACTAAATCAAAGAAAATATAGTAGAAAGTCTAAAGCTTTTAGTATCGATATCCAAGAATTATTGCTTGGATTTTTATTGAAAGGAGACCACAAATTAGTTGTAGGTACAGAAAAAATAACTCTTTTTCTTACAGGTAGAATGTCTTCAAGATGATCCATGTCACAGACGATAATGATAATAAAGCTGCTATTTACCAGCCCTGTATTAGGTGCCGATGATTGCATCTTGATCCATATGTGTATTTCTATCTAAATGTTTACACTTCAGTTTGTAGGATGAGCATTTTTATTATTTTACAAGTAACTGAGGCTTTATATACCATAAAACTAGGAGGAGCAAACATCAACTTCGGGCCAAACTTACTGAAATCGGTCATGTTCTTCACTGACTTTGGACTCTACCAATGATTCTTTCTTCCCTCCCTTCCTTTCTTCCTTCCTTCTTTCCTTCCTTCCTTTCTTCCTTCTTTCTTTCTCTTTCTTTCCTTCATCAGCCTCTTGATTCTATGTTCAGATACAAAAATATTATGAAGACCACAGAAGGAGGGGTGAAAATACAAACATTTTGTATCACTATACCTGGAGAAAACGGGAAGAATGTTGATTTTAATAGTTTGACTGAGGAAATGGTGTTTCAGGAGGTGAGCCCAGCTACCCAGAGCAATGGCTGGTGTACAGTTCTAGAGGCTTCACAGAACTGTGTGCACCATGTTATTCAGGAAGAAGCTGAGTAATATGTCTGTCAAGTACACTTGAATGCCTTGGTCCCTGAGAAAAGCCAGGCTTACCTTAAGAAGTGACTGCTGATGGTAAGGAATTATATTTGTGTAAATATGTGAAAACTTCAATGAGTCTATTGCTGTTGTTAATCACTTTATGAAGCAGAAAAGCACAGAGAAATGCCAGAAGGGCCGTGCGTGTTTCTCAGGTGAGATGTCAAGATTCTACAGGTGCGAATTTCCTTACTTGTAAAAAGAGAGAGGGCCTATGATGTTGATATGTGTCTTGTAAGTGATATGTGAGAAAAGGCATGCATATCTGTCCAAATAAATATACATTCTGAAATTAACTGTGGTGAATAGAAACATCATGTTTCTCTGTCAAAACTCCTTTAAAACTCTGAGAATTCATTCAATTCACAAGGTTCTAAAAACACCTTCTGGCAGAATATCTGAATTATTTACAAAGTAAGTGCAGAAGGGGAAGTAATTACCCAGTATCGCAAACCTCAGACTGTCCTTTATACAACTGCAACTATCACAGTTTCTTTCAAAAGTGGTAAAATAATAAAATATTAAACCCCTAATTTATTTTTTAATGAAGTGTCAAAATAAAAGCATAGCAAATCATTGATTTTTTTAAAAAAATTCATGTCATGGTCCTAGAATAATGATTAAATAAATAACAGGCACCTAAGGTTATTTCTATTTGGACAAACATGCAAATACAGTGAATTTATTCATTTAAGAAAAATTTATTATAAACCTTGTCCTTCAGTTATATTTAAAAATCTGATACTGACTATTAGATTTAAGTCTAGATAATCTATATTATAGTATCCCTTATTATTAACTCACGCAGTGTTAGGAAAACAAAATTCAGATAGACTTGAATTTGCATTTAGAATTTTCATATAACTAGTGTTGTGACCTAGTCGACTTAGAAAGAACTGAGACCCCAGAGGTGAAACCTCACACACTTTTATGGGTTTTTTTTTTTAAACTTTATTAAGTAAGACTCCTTGAGTAAGTGCCTGGAAGGTAATAGAAACCCAACCAAATCTGTCCTTACTTAAAGACTGATTATCTTTCGAGTGCTCAATGAATTAAATTTTAATTACATATAACACACATTTATATAACAAACATTTACTTAGCACTTTTTATCACAGGATATTTTTCTAAGTATTTCATAAATATTAACTTGTTGAGTCTTTAAAAGAGACCAGTGAGTCATGTCCTATTGTAACTGAATGCAGGTTCTGCTCCCTGCTGCAGTGAAGTCCAAACTTGTGAGACAGGTGCTGGTCAGAAAGAGAGTTTTATTCAAGGACTGGCCACCCAAGAAGTGGGGGACCCTGTGTCAAAGCTCAACTCAATATCTCAGTGCAGGCAGAGGTTTTACAAGAAGGAAGAGAGGGAACAGAACAA